ACCGAAAGTTTACCCGCTCGCTTTAGGAATTGTTCAATAGTAAAATTCACTATTGATGAAAAGGCACCTGACATCGATCTGGTAAGTCGAAATGTAGATTCACATGATTGTGAATGGTAATTCGATATAGAAAGAGCAGATTCAGGTAGCTGTTTTTGTGCTACGAGAAGGCATATTCCTAATAAACTGTGAGCATTGAGTTCGACTGAGAAATGTGCTGGAGTAGTGATGAACATATCACTAATCCGTTCATCAATAAGATCTTCAGGCATTTCTGTTTCATCCACTGCATGTAACCAAGTTTGCCATATACGGCACAAAAACACTCCAAACCAACTATGGTAGATACGATCAATAATCATTGTATTATGCTCTACATAGGCTAACACGATACTACGTAAAAGACGTAAATAGATTCGCGTAGCTTGAGAACCTTCGATATCTTCTAATGCTAAAAGTACATCATCATCTGAGAGATTAAGACAAGAAGTGAAATTTTGTCTGTCTTTCGGATTGACATCAGTTTTAACAAGACCATGAGCAAGTTTTGATTTACTTTCAATCAATTTCAGTAGCACTTCAATTGAAACTTCTTCTTTCCCAATCAATAGAGATGATGCATCAGAAAGCATACGGTTCCGAAGTTTCGTACATAGATGCGCTGGATCTTGAAAACAAAAAAAGATTTGCCGAGTCGGCATGAAAAACCAAGCTTTCCACTCTTGTGGTAAATCAATTTCAAGTGCATCAACACGATCAGGTATAGCAATATTATTATATTTTGCAAAAAATCCTGTTGCAAGTCTCATCGAAAGAAGATATCGAGCATCACAATCAGTGGAATATGCAACAATACGAACATTCGATTCTCGAGATTTTTCAAATATCCACAACCATCGATGGAGTACATCAACAGCTTGAAACTTATTGCTGAGCCCATAGGCGGCTAACAAAAATGGTGATGAATATGGATTAGATGCAAACAGAGGCTGTACCATATGTATATTAAGGTAAGATGATTTATCTTTCGTCTCAAACCAGTTTCTTAACTGATCGAAAGAATCAGTTTGAAAATGACGAGCAACTGGTAAACCATTTTTCAATGGAACTGAAAATCCACTGAAAATGTTTGTTGAAGCATTATACTTGATCTTTTTTATTACTCCAGTACAATCTTCGGAACAAACAGCTATCTGATAGTCCATCGACTTTTGATGTTCATCGAGAGCATTGAATCGAAATTCTGCTTCCTCTATACATTCTCCAGCTTTTTTGAGACTATCATTCAAGGTAGACAAAGATGGAAGTGCTGCTGGAAGATTCATACGGATAAACTCGTATGCATTTCTTCCTCCCAATATATACAACGATTGTGCAAATTGCATCACAGCCTCATCGTATCGATAATTGTTTTTATTTTTGAGAAGGTTACTCAAAATATTTTCAATGAAAACTAATAGAAACAAAAAATTATTTCTTGAATCATTGTCTTCATTTATTTGAAATGATTTAATGAATGCTTTAAATAATGAAAGAAAATCATTATTTGAATTAAATATTTGATCCTGGTGTTGATTCTTATCATTTGCAGCATGAAGAGCTTCAATGAAACGATCTAAATCCAAACGTAATCCAGGTTTAAGCAAGATACTTCCATCATCAAGATGAAGGCAAGCTCTTTCTGTTATTTTTTCAAGTTCACGATATTTTTTCTGAAAGACAGAGAGAATATCGTTTTCAACCAAAAGTAATTTGTATACTGTATTGATTGAAAGTACTTCCATCAATTCTTTAAAAATATTTCCACATGTTTTATTCACCAAGTCGAGAAATCTTTCTCCTTCGAAAGAAAGGACATCATCAGGTAAAACAAGTGGTGGAAATGTACGAAGCATTTTTTTTATTTTTTTTTTGAAAAAAAAATAAATTATTATTTGTTGAGAGTAAATAAGCGTGTGAGCTTTTGAATAGAAATAGATAATAAATGATTTTAAAGAGAAAAATCTTCGATATATATATGCGGAGAAAAATAATGACGAAAAGAGAGAAATTATATATAATTGATTTTTTTTCTAGCTGAGAAAAATAGGTGAAAGAGAGAATAAGTTGATCGTTCTGAAATATATATTTTGAATTTTGTAGAATAAATCTTTTTCTTTCGCAATATTCGACCGTTAGAAGGTCAACAAGAACAAGTTGACCGTTAGATAAACTAATTTGAACTAATAGTCAAGAGAACGTATTGTATAAACGCCTATCATGAAATAAATCATATGAATTCTATTTTTGTTTTAATCAATGAAAATAGGTAGAAATAAAACACAGTAATAGACACGAAAAATTTTCACATGAACAAACAAAAGTGTAAAACTCTACTAAATATAAATAAATGAATTAATAAAATATTTACTAATGATAAAGACATGTATACATATAAATACATTATTAAATACGTTTTTTTTTCGATAAACTATTATTATCTTGATCAGTTGTTCGTTTATTTGATTTACTTATAGTTGCAGGTTCATTCATAGAACTGACTGATGTGAGACATTGTATATCTTTAGAATTTGA